AAAAAGAGATCCAAAAGGAACAAAAACAGTTTAAAACTGATATAATTTTGCTCTAACAAGTAATCTAAATAATTTCTTACAATACAGAGATATAAAGGATCGATTAAAATTATTTACATACATTAAAATAGTTTCAAGTCAACAAGTTGGGTTGTGACACCTGCTACCAGATCTTCACAGATATGCTTCTTTACTGTGTTGAAACTCCCACGGTCTCGATACCTCATCAAAATCTTTTTAATAATAAGTGAGTCTAGGTAAGCAAACGAAGATTTAAAGCTGGACAATTGGTGTTCAGGCACATCAGCCATAAAGTCTATTGACCTAAGATATCTGTTGTGGATCATCGATCGCATAATGATTTTCTATCGAAGATATGCCGGACGAGAAGTATTTAAGACTTTCAGAACAAACATACTGAAATGGACAAAGCGTAGTTCAGTTGTAGTGAGTCAGTTTAGATGTCTTATAAATAATGGTGTGATGTGTGAGAACCTTGGTACTTGGACAACAAATCTTGTGCAATAATTTTGTACCTTCTGCAAACGATATTTCTGCGCCATAGAAAAGCAAGGGCCATAAACCACGTCAGCATAATTTAAATGGGATAATACTAGTGCATCAGACAAAAGTTTTTTAGTATTCGTGTTTAGAAAACTTCTAAGAAAGGAGATTTGTTTCAAGGAGACAAAACTTTCCTACAAATAAAGTCAACATGATCAACAAATTTTAGTTGATGACCAAGGATGACACCCAGACTTTTTACAGAAATTTGTGGTTTGAGTACGTTATCACCTATTATTACAGAGACTAGATCTCTAGATTGGTTCAAATTGGCAGCAGTACCAAAAACTATATTTTCACATTTCGCAAAATTTAATCCCAGGCAGTTTTCTTGACACCACAGATGGATATTTTTCAAATCCAGGTTGATAAGATTGGACGACATAAAAGCAGAATCAGGAGGAAAAGTGTAATAAATTTGTATATCATCCGCATACATATGAATAGAACAGGATTTTACTACATCTGGTAAGTCTGAAGTGTAAACGGAAAAAAGAAAGGGCCCCAGTACTGAGCCTTGAGGAACGCCAGAGAACAGATCAAGAGAAGAAGAGAAATTATTTTCATAATGAACAATTTGGGAACGATTATGCAAATAATTTTGCATCCACACCATGGATTGCCCTGTAACACCATAGTACGCCAGTTTAACTGAAAGCAGATCTATGTCCAAACTGTCGAAGGCTTTTGACATTTCTAAAAGTGTAAGAGATGTAATGTGACCATTATTAAAACCATTTAAAATATCATCTGTTAGCGAAGACAGAAGAGTGGGTGTACTATAATTTTTTCGAAACCCTGATTGAACATTAGGTACAATGGCCAACTCATTGAAATGCTCCTTCATTTGTTCCAAGAAAACCGATTCAGCAACCTTAAGGGTATTACATAGTAGACTGATGGGTCTCAAATCATTTAAGGATTTGGGGTCAGATTTTTTAGGAATTGGGGTGACAACAGAAAGGTGCCACAATTTAGGAATAAGTCCTTGTTCGAACGAGAAATTGATAATATGCGTAAATGGACGCAGAATCCAGTATAAACTAATTTGTAGCATCTAAAATATTGAGACGAGAATGAACCAGACAAAAAAGAAGCTTTATAATTAGGGTCAGGAGTTAGGTTATTAGGAACAATTGAGAGAAAATGTTTGTTAATTGCCTCCACATCAGTTAAGTCAGAGGGAAGTTTACTGTTTGATCCAACAATACCCAAAGATTTTATTTCCCGCCACATATTTTTATTATTATTCCCATACTTATTGAATTTGTAATGGAAATATGCCTTCTTTTCATTGAGTAATGCAGTATTATAATAGTTTCTCAGCTGACAGAAATATTTTTTGTGAGTTAAATTTCTGGTATTTTTGTAGCGAAGCCATGCTTTACACTTTAATTTTCGGATTAAGTCAAGTATTTCAGTGAACCAAGGTTGTTTTCTACTGGAAGTTTTTACTGCTTGCAGCGGAGCATGTGTATTAAAAAGAAAAAGAATTGATTCATTTAACTATTCGATTTTTGAGTCAATATCAGGTAACGTGTATACGTAATTCCAGTCAATAGTGGATGCATCTCTAGTAAAGAATTCAAGGTTGAAATTTTTGAAACAGCGACTGATTCTAGAATAAGGTTTTTGCTTTTCCATATATAAATTGAGTTAGCAAGTAACAGCGTTGTGATCCGTAATCAGATACTCCTGAGTTTAACACAGGAGTATCTGAGTAAATTCGTGGTGTGTGGTAAATCTTTAAATTGAGCTTCAATATATTTCAACTGCTCCTTTATATTTAAAACAACAATTTTTATTACCTCAAAATTGTTGGGATAGAACAACCCGGTCTGCAACTATGTACGCCAACGTGTAATGACAGGTACAGGCGGCAAGGGAAGATGTGGACACATATCTTTATATAACCCTACTCTATGTGGCGCTTTGAGAAATATTTTTTTACAAGTGCTAATCAATAATAAATTCGCAAATGCGGTGTAGCATGAGCAAAACAGGTGATATATAATATATTTGTAAATTTGACTTTTAATAATTTACAGCCTTTGATCATATATGGGATGGCATCACTGACAAATAACAGAACGTTTTTGTACTTTTTGTCTGCATTGTCATAAATACTGTACAATTAGCCGTCGGTATTGTTAGATATAATATTCAAACAACCACATTCACAACCCAGCGTCCCAACGTGTTGATGGTTTTATCCGTGGAGATCCGGATATAATTGTCACCAATACTTGTTTTTATTTTTTCCATAATATGTTCATAACATTGGGGTAAATGCTGCTGCTTTCCTGCAAGTCTTGACAGCAAACACTACCAATCAACAGGCAAATAACAACTGCCGAATTGCTGAAACAGAAAGTACTGATGTCTAGTATGTCCACTATGCGCTCCGCGTTCTGTTCTGTCGCACGCCTCTGCAGACTAGTGGTGGGAGTAAATCACTTAAAGCCGGCGAAGCATAGTCATGCCTCATGATTCTCTTCTATATGGAGTGACGAGGTTGAAATAAAGAACTAGTGTTTGATGTCCTGTCTCAATAAGTTATTGGGTTTATTAAATAAGTACTTAATAACTATTGCTGTAATATCAATATGTGACAAACGCATTAAGTTTTTTGTTATTTTATCATGTTGCTTGAAAAGACTGAAACGCTTCCAAACAAGAAGGACAGGGATCCATCACTTATGAATGACGAACGTTGTGAATATCTGAACGATTCATTTGCGTGATGTTGCATTTTCCTACATGTATAGCATTGTCATGTTTTAAAATGTTGCATGCTATTGTTATGCTTCAAGAACTAGTTAGTTACACAGACAAGCCGTTAAAGATACTGTTTTCTAGATTTTGCACGAAATAACAAAAACACGAGCACTTAGAATGCACTTTTGTGGGCAATAATAATTTTAGTTATTATAGTAAAAAATTGCTCTGAAGTCATTTAGAGAGAATAAATACAAATGATTCGAAAAATTACAAAATAAAATTTTGCCATGCATGTTACAGGTGAGCTTTTTAATTACTAAATTTTGGAGGACGTCATTCGCTTTCTAGTGGGGATCGTTAAACAAATCAATTGGTTCTGTAGTTTCGGAGATCATCTGCCTAATAAAAAAGGGCACAGACAATGGAGGAAGGAACATAAAGAAGGAAGCGCGCCATATTTCAGCAATGTAAACTTCTGGTATCAATGCAAGCACCTTTTACCACAAATTTTCAATTAGAGCGTGCATACTTACTTTAATAATTTCATCAAGCCAGCACTGGCCAGTGCCGTATGATTATATTTTTGACATTTTCGCTCTTAATCTCGTGTTGAACGTTTTGTTTTGGATTTGTGTTAAGTATTTAGTGTTTGTTTAAAAACTTTTAAAATGGTTACTTGCAACTTGTGTAAAGTTACAAATGCTTCCAGGTCAACAATTTGTATAAAAACAATGATCGAAAGCTGTTTTGACAAAACTTCCCTCCGACAAATCTAGCTCTTTAAAAAAATTATAAAATTTGATTTACGATTTTCGTTTAGTCATAACCTCTATAATATATTTAAAGCACTTAACCAACGGGATAAAATGTCCTTCAGCACTAGGTAATAGCAATCTGAAGCTCAAGTGTTTATTTATGTTTATACATCCGAAGAATGTCACGTAGAAATTCGTTAGATTTGAATGAGTCTGTCTTCTCAAAACAGAAGACTAAAATTGTTAAATTTGTGAAGACGTCATATTACATTATTATGATTAAATGGAATAAATAATAATTGAATTATTATTATTATTTATATTGGCTAATGTTTTTACTTTTTCATAGGTACATGTCTTTAAATAAGTATTATTCACACGATCTCGTAAGTGTCAATTATGGATTATAGAAAAAATTTGAAATTATTTTGTATCAATCGAATGTTGATTTTGTGCTATTTACCTAGATTCGAACGATAAATACTAATTCGTCAAATTGTTTCCTTTCTATTATTAAAAAGTGTTTATATGAATAAAGTATAAATCAAACCCCTTAATAATCAATTATTAATTATTAATGGGTCATAGTTTGATTCCGTATCCCTGCAGTCTCACACTTGTGAATGAATATTGCCAGAGGTACTCAACAAACTGGGTCAAACAGACCCTAATTAGAGCAGCGCTTTGTCGCAATAATTATACCACCCTCCAGATCGGTCTAGGATCGTGCGATCAATCCATTCCTCTGCGAGAACGCCAGGATCAATGTAGGTAATGTTACGGATTGATAAAGAATTTGAGGCATTCACCGGTAAACATCGAAAATACTTCAGGGTTGTATTCAGGTGGGTCCGGGTGCGCATCGCGCGACATCAAGCAGGCGAGGGTGCGATATGGTGGGGAGTTTTCGCGCGCACGCTTTGAACGTTTTCAAGTAGACGGCAGTCAGTAGCACGCGAGACCTGCAGCAACAAACGACCCGCTCCGGAACAATTCCGGTGTTTTGAGTCCGGACCCGCCCACCTTCGGTGACATATCCTCCGCTGTACATGTGTACGGAGTTTACAGGGAGATTTGCATAAATTCCGTGTTCCTGGATTGTTATTTACATATCTGACAATGTTCCGGCGCACGTCAACCGGATTTTAATTGCGGATAAGTTTCCCGGAGCGCTCCAGAGACGTTCGCTCCGGAACACGATAAACTCGCTGAAACTTGAGTGATTAATCTCGTCGATTGATGGTGTACTGTGCTTGTTTTTCTTTGAGTTTTCTTAAAACAGAGTTCGGTCTGTGCTTGGATGAGTGCTTGGGGGATGCTTGAGTGTCGATAACACATCAACATGGTTGCGGTTTTGCAAAAATTCTTGATCATCCTTGTTGTCGGGATTTTGCCGAGGGTGACAACACAAGGTAAGAGGTTGTGCGTTTGACAGGGGGTATTTCCGACGCTACAACTTGAACTTACTTCAGAAGGTGCTTACAATGTCGCATCGATGTAATGACACCGAAATTCTCCGTTGTGAGATATTCGATATTGCGAAAATCGCACTCAAAAGTTCCGCTCTGGAAATAATTTACAAACGCAATCGCCAAAACCGGAGTACCACCCTAAATATTTTATTAGGTTGCCAGATTTTCGAAAGGCTATGTCGCGATTTTTTATTCATCTGCTGAAAAAACTTTTTCAAACTTAGAAAATAAGGAATAAATATTAAAACGGTTCCTAACAAAAATGAAGTTTTGAGCAGTGAAACGAAATGGAAAAACAACTTATTAAATTGCGCGCTGACTTATTAATAACATTTTAATGAATACATAAATATTTATTCTTTATCTGTAATTGTGATGGTGAATTTGATCGAGTTTATTCTAATATTTCACAATTTATTCAGGGAAGAGAAAAATGTGCAGGGTATGTAAACGCTGCAGATTACAATCGAATAAAAGATTTTCTTCGGTGAAAGGTATTCGCTTCAAGGGATGCTTGACTTTTTGTTATTTTTTGGAGATAAATCTTAAAATAAATTTCAGTGTGTTAGGGTTGAGTCATGAATTTAAAGTAACTTAATCTCAGTGGAAAGTTTGACATATGACATTTTAAATTTCATCAGACATTTTTCGTGAGTCTTTTGGCTAATGAATAGTCTAATTATCATATAGTAACAGTAAATAATAAATAAGCAATTTATAGTATTGGTATTAAAACGCATGACAGACTGTATACTTTGTTGTTACACCAAGTCATGTAAAAAGTTTCATATCATGTTTGGTATATTTTTAGACATCAGTTTTCCTAATGGATCTTATTACAGGGATGACGGAACAAATTCACATCGACACTTCTCGCGTGATAGACTTAAATATTCTACGAGGGGTGTATATACTCCTATTACTATTTTTTCAACTTTCAACATTTTTCAAATCAATATTTATTTTGTCATACTTTTATTAATAGGTTTATTTACATACACATAAATATACCCACTAAGTTTATGTCATCCACAAAATATTAAAATAATGTGGTACATTGCAATACGAAATAAGTATATTAAAATTATTTTACGGAAATAAGCTCCTTTAGACAATTTTTGGGTATTATTTAATAAATTGGGGTTATAATTATATATTATTATATTTCTAGGAAAGTGTATAAAACAAAACCAAGTTTATTTTAAATAAATAAAAATACTTTGAGATTTTAGAAGTTGAAACCTGCCCCGGATTTTAATACATATGTGATATCCTGTGTACGTACATATAATGTTTCATCCAAGGTTTGCTCACCCTCCAGACTTATGTGTGAAGATAAGCTGCGGATGAAATCTGGATAATCTGTGTCATTCGTTGCCGGTTTTGTTCGAGTGGTCAAGACGTCGGCACGAAATTAGAACAACAATTTCAGTAAAATAGCGACAATACAACAATAGACTGCTGAAGCCAGCCTTGCTGAAAATTTTTGTTTAGGATTTATTTAAATTTTAGTTAATTATTCTGCAAGTTTTTAACATATCTCTTATACAGTAATAGTTGTTTACATATTTCCTCAAATTAGTAAGCTGCAGTCTGCAAGCATTTCAAGAATTCAGCTGCTTCCGGCGAGACAAATTTGTCAAATTTGTTTTCAAGCGTGTTGAAACTGCATGACCAAGTTTTAATGATCCTTTGCGGTGATTATAAACCTGTGAAATTAACAGCAGTTAAATTTAAACTATAAAAATGCATGTACTAGATTATAAATGCAACGGGTTACTACGCAAACCGGCAGTAAAATCTCAAATTGTAGTTCATGTTTGAAACTGCGCCACTTTCCTTGTTTAGAAACGTGAAGTGGTTTTTAAAGTTACCAGCCAGCCTGCTTCGAAGTATTTTGAATTTTCATCATTTTGTTTTTATTTTTAACGCCAAATTTGTATTGAACCAAATTCATTCAAATACAAAATAATTTTTTTAATTTAAACTTTTGTGTTAATTTTTTATGGATAGATTGAGGTAAAATTTACATTTAACCAAACTCAGTTATTGTTTTTCGTTAATTTTCTCAAGAGCAGAAAATTAAATTCTAAGTAATATATATGCAATAATTTATCAGCCATAAAAAATAATATTTATAAGAATAAGTAAAGATATTGTTCTTTTAGACATCATTTCCGCCGTCGTAATATTTGACTAAATATTTTTTTAGTGATGCATCAGATTTGACATGCTAATTTTGGAATACATTTGATTTTTTTTTTTTGCAAAATATTACATATATGGTTCGTAATTCGATAAAGTTGCGATTAGGTGGTCGTTATACAATAAAATTTAGGATTTTTTGTTATTACGAAATTGGAACAATATTTTCTCTTTCTGCGACATTTTACTTAAGTGTTCATGTTTTTTCTTTAATTTTTTAATTACTCTAAGAATAACGTAAACTCTTCCTAATTGAAATTTATGAAGAATTTAAGAGAATTATTTCAGTTTAGAGCTATTCGTTTGAATTCACTGATTTAGTTGACACTTTTCGATTCCATTGAACTTTCCTACTAACACTAAGAATTAAAATATTGTCTAATATTTAAAAGCAAAATTAAACTTTGAAGCAAGTACAACAACATGTCATAGAATTAGTGCGCCATCTTTGAATCCCCCTGTATATGTAATACTTTACAACCCATTTTTGCGGGAAAAGTATTGATAAACTTTTTTGTTCCAAAAGTGGCTTGATATCGTATCATATAGCTGCAGTAACTTTTAAGGATACAAAATATTGAATCGTTTATTCGAGTCTTTCTGAGTGACGTGTAATTGAGCTGTCGCTCAAAAACTAATAAAATTTACTAAACCACTTTAAATTTTAGTAAGAGGGATATCAAAGTGATGTTCGTCGAAGCGTCATAGAAAAGGTTCGGAACCCTCGCATATTATTGCCTTAAAATGGGCAATGCCAAATAAAGCAGAATGGTATATACAGGGAACAAGATTTTAATCTATATCTTTCTGTTCAAAAAGCCATATGATTTACTAAAGCCTGAAGAAAACTCTTTACATTCTCCTCCTTTGAAAAATACCCAACCTCATACATCATTAACGACAAGACCGATAAAGACGACTGAAACGGGAAGGAAGTCTACCCGATTCCGTATATTTTCACAAACACAGGTTGCTACTGGAGGGTTTCCCCCAGTTTTTGTATAGAAAATGCAAACCATCAGAACGTCGAAACACTTTCGATGATAGCGAGTCGCATTAAAATGCGAAGAGATTTCCATTCTCTTTAATTATTTTTATTGTTCCGTACTTTGTCGTTTCCGGTCTACAAAAATTCTCCCCCAACTTAGCGTTTCCATCTTTCCAACTGCGAAAATTTCTGCTTATTTATTTGCTTGTCAATCATCCCACAAATGCGCTTTTAGACAAGTTAATTAAAAATGTCGCAAAGTTGAGCAAAAGTTTCGAAATTTCGGTGCCGCCTTATTTAAAAAATAAATTGCCAAATTAATCAATAAATCTGTAAGCCGTGAAGACTTCGCCGTCATTAAGCTAAATAAGGTTAGTTTTTCATCGTCTTCTGCCGATTTTTATGGGAGCGCTTTGACGTATCGACCATATGGCAGTCTTCTTCCACATCAAGATCGGCACGCAATGCCGATTTATTTATAGCTTTTCATATTTATGTGTTCTAATGAAAAGGTTTGATTTATTCACCGAGAGAAAAGCCGTTTCCTTTTTCACAGCGACGCTATGATAAAGATGCGTCGAGTGGAAAGTACGGTCGGGAGGGGTCTTCTTTCAAATAATTGTTTTCTCTGCTAGATTTTAAAATTAAAATGAGAAAATCCCTCAAGCGTCGAGTTTAATAAATATATCCAAATAAATATAGCTTTAAGGAAACCCACCTTTATGTATCTTATCTTATAAATGGAAGGAAACAAAGATGACCAACTAGCATTTTCCTTCGTCAAAAGTGTAGATAGAGACAATATTGTCCATGTGTAAGACAAAGCAACTATCAGGAATCAGGTACTTTTCCCCTTTCAAGATTTGTTATAATTTATTATTCAATCTTCTTTTAAAATACTGATGAGGTTGACTTCAAAACTTTTAACAATGTTAATCAATAATGTTACTAAAATATAGATACTTACTTACTTTGAAATTTAGTTTTATATGAACCACAGTAAATAAGTGTAAGCTTTTCAAATCGCATACATTTGAAAATTTATCCAACGTCGTTTGCGTCTTTTAGAGCTACCAATTTAGGTGAATATCGGAGAACTTTTGCTATATTATTAAGGTTTCTGTGGCAGTTTACAATTTTTGTTGAACTACAGTTGTAGTCACATCAAAAGCTTTACTCAAATGGTAAAGTAGGAAGGAAAGTATTAAATATGTATTCTACAAAAATGTTTACATCATTACAGTAACGAGATTATAGCTGCTGTAGCAGCATTGAAAGCATTCTGTTTTAAATACGAAATCTCTGTGTACGAATAATTAATTCACTGTTTCATTCTCTTGTAATAAGCATAAATTACAGACAAATACTTAACTTGCACTTTAATTAGGAAGTATTCTAACTCTAGACAGGTCGCACCTATATCACTAATATTACTTTGTAGATTACATGCATTGAGAATTGCATTAATTACGAGTAATTTGAAGGGTGGATTGGACTAGTTAATATTCGATATTAGTAGTTATTTGAACAGCTGCTAACAGTAACATAACAATGAAATTTGCAACAATTAGCACTATTATACTTCTGATATGTTAGGTTTGGTTCATACGAGTGGAAAATCCGAACGCGAGCGTTGGCGTTGGTTTGTAGACTTAGCAGATTCAATAGTAATGCAGCAGGAAGAATTGGAGGTTGAGGAAAAATCTACTTACGAAATAGACCCACTAATTGGAGAAATTAATTGATT